TTTCAGAGTGTCTTGATTTACAGTATCTCACATTAATATGATAAGATGAAAGACTAAAGAAGCTGAAATTATGCATGATTAAAGAATTTAATTTAATACAATTTGTAGGAGTGAGATTTTTTAAAGGATCTGAATGGCCTGGGAATGGAGGTCAGTCATCATATTTGCTTAGCATGAGCAAGGCCCTGGGATCAATCCCTAGCCCTGGCTCCTCCTCTCCCAAAGCAGGATAAGATATGGTGTTGTTTTTAAATGTGTTTTATTGATGTTTATAGGAGATCTCTTACATGAAAAAGAACTTTACTGAGTTCAATTTATACTGTATGAAAACGTGAAGCATTTCCCCCACTAAAATATAGCAATGTATTTTGGGAACAGATCTTCTATAGTGTTGGTAGGGGAATTAATGCATTTTTGTACTGGAGTAGAAAAGTATTTATATGTTTCATGAGAAATAAACTACATAGAATTTGTATGTAACCTTCTATATATTTTTTTAAATTTTATTTTAAAGAGTAAAAGAAGGACATCATAGTAATAGGGGGATTTACTGAATTACAGACAAAGTGGTAGGACATTATCAATGGTTGTTATTTTACCTATTGGTATCTTTCAACATAGTTTCTCAGGAAAACAAATAGACAAATAATAGTGAGTTATAGACAAAAATTGTAGGAAATTATCAATGGTTATTGTACTATACTTTGGTTTCCTCAAAGTGGTTTCTAGGGAAAACAAATAGAGCTATACATGAGTGATCAATTAAATAATCATTGACTATTCTCAATGGTTGTTGTTGAAAACACATAGTAATAAACATATATCCATTTACAAAGTAGGATAGGAACAATACAAACATTACAGAGTTATGGACAGATTGGTAGGAAATTGTCAATGGCTGCTGCAATACATGTTGGTATCTTCAAAGTGGTTTCTCAGGAAAAAAAAGATATGCAAGAAAGATCTAACAAGTACTTATAGCCTAAGGGGTGTGAAAAATAGCGGACTACCTCTTCATCAGTGACTCCTTTCAGTGAGGTGTGATGGCTGGAAGGAAGGCAAGGATTGAAAAGAAGGACCGAGAGACTAGCACCAGTGTCTAGCAATAGGCTGTTTACTTTTTCCTCTAGAGTCATGATTATGCAGGGTTCCTCCTTGGAGATAATGATCTGGCCAGAGGGAGAAGGCAGAGTATGCCCTGGGCCCCTTCATTCCGGTTGGACCAGCTGGTAGGAGGGGTCTGAGCTCTGGGGCCTTCGCTTCAGAGGGCAGTCCGACCTCTACTGGTCACCTTTACAGTCAGGGCATAGCCCAGGCGGCTTCTTAGGGCAGTCTCTCTTGAGGTGGCCTGGTTTTTGACAACTGTAGCAGATGAATGTAGTTGACGAGTTCTTCTTGGGGCCCCAAGAATCAGACTTAGGATCTGTTTCTCTTAGTACTGCAACAAAGGCAGCTGTTTTGTTCTCAGTCTTTTTGTTTTCTCTCCTTGGCCTCCTCCTCATCATGGCTATAAAATGCTGAGGAGGCAATTCTTACTAATGTCTCAAATGAGCTATCTGGGCCAAAAGCCATTTTTTGTAGCTTTTTTCTACTATCTGGGGCTGACTGAGTAATAAATTTATCTTTAAGAATAGTTTGACCCTCTACTGAATTGGGATCTGGGGAAGTATGCTTTATCAATTCCTCTTGTCTAAGAAAGCAGAGGGGTGTTCTCTCCAGCCTCCCAGCGCATTGGGATCCTGCAACCAATGTCCTCTCCCCAACTGTCAGCACAAGTGACAGGAACATGTGGATGAAGTCCTTGGCCCACTAGTCAGTCTCAGCACCATCAGGTGCGAAGTGTCCCAGGCAGGTAACCTAGACACATACCTTCTCCATGAAGGTGTTTCTTCAGAATCTGAATATTGGGCACCCATGTAATCCATGAAGTCTCGGTGCAGACCTCTCCGGAGCTCCACTCGCTCCTCCACTGCATCCTGTACAGTTAGGGGAAGAATGGTCTCCAGGCGGTCTCCCCAGGTATTGCCTTTTATGTTTATTTTATCCTGTTGATTTGCCTTTAATTTACTGTTTACATAGCCATATAAATTTGAATATTCATGATTCTCTTATACTTTATTAAAGTGTTTAATCCTTAAAATTATCACTGTGCTTGTAATTAAATAGTTTTCAATAAAATTATATAACACCATACTTAAAAAAAAATCAATAACGATCCTGTACACCATTAAAAAACTCAATGAGAGGGAAATAGGGAAAAATACACTGCACAATTACATGAAAAGAAAAAGAAATACTTTGAACTGAACCTTACCAAAAAAGTGAAAGACCTTTGCAATACAAACTATAATATTTTTTAAAAAGAGGTGGAAAATGATATCAGAAAATGGAAAGCTATCCCTTGTTCCTGGATAGGCAAAACCAATATAGTCAAACTGGCCATAATTCCAAAAATGTTACACAAATTTAATGCAATATCAATCAAAATATCCACAACATCCCTTACAGAACTGGAGAAAACAATATTAAATTTCATGTGGAACAAGAAAAGACCTAGAATAGCAAAACTGTTGACAATAGGTTTGTTTTGTTTTGTTTTGCTTTGTTTTTGAGACAGAGTGAGAAGGTAGGGAGCATAGCAGTCTCAGACTTCCAGTTACACTACAATGCTGCAGTGAAAAAACAGCATGGTATTGGCAAAAAAAATCCAACCCCCTCACCAACCCAAGATTGAGGAGTGGGACAAAGTACAAGATTCAGAAAAAACTCCAGGCACACTCACCTATGTTATTTTTGACAAATGGCCAAATTGCATCACTGGAGAAGACATAAAACATTTAACAAATGGTGTTAGAGAAACTAGCTATTGATATGCCAAATGCTGAGTCTACACTGACTTCTGTCACCATGCACCAAATAGAAATTACAGTGGATCAAAGTCTGCCAGAAGATGAAATAGATAAAACTGATGAAAACATAAGTATAGGCCACATTTTCTGAACAAAATTGCACTTGCACAAGAAATAATATCAAGAATCAACAAATGGGATCGTATTAAATTAAAAAGGTTATATACAGCAAGGGAAACCACTAACACAATGAAAGGACAACATAGAGAATGGAAAAAAGAATTTTTCCATCTACTCCTCAGATATTATATCTAGAAATTATATCTAGAACATATAAAGACCTTAAAACAATGAGGCCTTCAAATGTGAAGGCTCAAATAAAAATGGGAATCTGAAATAAATCAATACTTCTCAGATGAAATACACCTGATCGTTAAATACATGAAAAAAGGTCAACATCGCTGGCCATGCAAGAAATGCAAATTAGAGCACCTTGATTCCATCTCATCCCATAAAAAATGGTTATTATCACCACGAAATTGAACAATAACAAATGCTGCCAAGGCTTGGGGAGAAAGGACCCTTCTCCCTTGCTGGTGGGACTATAAACTGATACAACCGTTGTGGAAATCAGTAATGAGATTCCTCAAAAAGCAGAAGCAGAAGCTACTTGTGACCCAGCTGGATCCAGTTTGAGGCCAACATCAGTTACACAATAAATTCAAAGCCAGGCTTAGCTACATAGTGAGACTTGCCTCAAAAACAAAGCAAAGCAAAGCAAAACAAAACAAAACAATAACAAAAAAAAGAACTAAACTGATATTCTTCAAAGCCCAGAGAGAAAGAAACTGTCATTGATGAAGAAAAATGGGGGTTGCAAACTACTACCATTTTATGTGGTACAGAGTCTCTCTGCCTAGAGATTGGTTACGGCTCTTTGGAGTTCTGTAGTGTAGATTTTGAGAACATGCACAGCCTCCAAAGATGAGTCATTTTTACAGGTGGCAAATAGTTGGCCATATCTGTTTGTGTTTGTGTAGGTGGACTTTTAAAGTCTTACTGTTTTAGAATGACCTGTTATGTTGTGACATAGATAGGGCAGGCAAAGCACACAGGGAAATGTTGAAGAACAGGCTGTGTGTTACTGCTGACCGTGAAGGAACCTCTTGCTGTGTTGGAAAAGGTCATATTCACAGTGCTCTGAAGTAGAAATAACACCACAGATGCAGCCAAGGACAAGTGCTATTACTGCTCCCTACTCCAGAGCTATAAAGCTGCCAACATTACAGATCAAACAGTTCTCTTAATTGGCAAGATTTGCCGCCTTTATTTCTTGGGTCTTGCTCATTTTCACAAACTTTTGCCTCTTGATAGGCCCTCCTCTTTCTGCACCCTCAAAATCTGTGAAAACCCAGTAAATACAGTGATCCAGAAGAGTCCTTGTCTTTACTTACAGAGTGTTCATGCCCAGAGTTTTAACCTGCCTGGATTCTCCAAAAAAATTCTAATTGTCTTTTTTTATTTAAGCCTTTACCATAACTCATTTTAGGAGTTTGTGGGGGTAGGCCAAATCCAGGATACAGAAGGACTTAGGGAAATTTTTTACATGAACCTTATTTATAAAAGTTTAATATTGATTTGATAACTGTGACATTTACTCTAGAGGCAGAAAATTTAGAGAAGAAAGTGGCTAAGCCAAATAATGTCATGAGATCTAAAATAATCTTTACAGGACTGACCAAATTGCCAGGTCTATTAGGAGTAAAAATTTGTAAGTAAAAAGGACAGAGAAAAAATAATGAATGTACACAAAACAGATTAATAGAAAGAATATTAGGAAAAAGTAATTTAAAGCCAAAAATAGTCTTTAATTTTAAACTTTGTAGTGCCTAAATACATACTAATATAGAGGAACGTTCCCATTTTGGTAATAGCGCCACTTCCCAGTACTTCCTGAGAGAAATCTGTCAACAATGTCATTTCATTATTGACCAGAGATTAATTCTTGCAGCAACAAAATATTTCACAAAATGTTTTTGAAATAGGTGGACCACTGATTAACTCCTGCTTTGCATACCAACCACAAAGTGTGGGCCCTAAACAAAAGAGGAAGGAGGAAGTCAAAAGACTTTAAATACCACCACAACTTCTGCTAGCCAACCGAGTGGCCTGTACTTCCAGTCATCATGAAGTCTCTCATTTTTCTGGGGCTGGTCCTCCTGTCTGTGACCGTACAGGGCAAGGTCTTTAAAAGGTGTGAGCTGGCCAAAACTCTGAAAGCTAAAGGAATGGATGGCTACCAAGGAATCAGCCTGGCAAACTGTAAGTCTGCTCCCCCTGCCTCCATGCAGGTTCAGTATGAAAATGAGTGGTCAGAGGGGTTTTGTATGAAGAGACTGCTTTTTCCTTGTGCATTTCCCTACTTACAATGTTAAAACATGATTTTCTCCTTTACAATCAGAGATACAAAGTGAAGGAATGACATCACTGGGGGAAGTATTCTTCACCTTCTATGTTGCAAATGACCTGCTGTACTATGCTAGGGGCACTGCATTTGCCAGTTGCTCCACAATCAATGACCCGAGAAGCCAGAGCAAAAGATACATTATAGACCAGTTTGAAACTTTAGTTCGAGAGGATACAGTGATACAGAAGTTTTCTATCATTCTCTATCCTGATATAGAGTTTGTAACAAGAATTTTCAAAGTTACAGTGAACTTGTGAGAAGAGGATAAGAATCTATTTCACTCCAGTCACTGTTCCTATAAGGGGTCTCTGCAGTTCAGCAATATGTGTTTTACTGTCATTCTGTCTACATTGTCTACTTTTCACTGTCTTCCACACCATTTCTGATATGCCATAAAGAAAAGTTCCTAAATAGATTCCTCCATAATCATCAATGTAATCTCTTAGTTTTCTATTTAAACATTTCCTAGTCAGTAACTCCACTGGAATGAACAGAGGAGAGAATAGAAGAACGGATGTATAGTTGTATGAAATGGCACAATAGCCTGTTCTCTTCTCTGAGGCTTGCATGCAAGTCTTGCTTGACTTCGAAATTTACCTTTAGGGATCATAAGAAAGTTTCTACCTCTCTGAAAAATTCTATTTTCTCTAATAATACCCACTTTCCTGTGAGTCTGTGCACGTGCTATAAGTTTACTGAATGCGCTCAATAGCTGTGCTGCTGTTTCTACTCTGAGCTGCACACTGCCTGGGCAAGAGGAGCAGGGCGAGGGTAAGCGCACTGGAAGATGCCGCCCTTTCAATGTTTTCACACTGCTTCGTGCTGCTTCAAGAGCATTCCAATGTGAGACGCCCTGTGAAGAATATTCCCTGAGAGACCCTTTAGAAGTACAGTAGAGAGCCGGGCAGATTGGTCCACACCTGTGCTCCCAGCTACTCAGGAGGCTGAAGGAGGAGAATCCCTTGAGCCCAGGAGACCAGCCTGGGCATCATGGCCATACCTGGGGTCACAACAGCAAGCAAATACCCAAGTGTACAGTATTTTGTAGGTTAAATACAGTACAACCTTGCACTTTTAAAGTAAGTAACACAGAATTATCTAAAAAGAGCCACCATGGTAGCACAGACCTGCAATCGCAGAACTCAGAAGGCTGGGGCAGGAAAGCTGCCATGATTTTGAAGCCAGCATGGGCTACTGAGTGACTTCAAGTCCAGTCTGAACAACATGGTGAGATACTCTCTCTCTCAAAAAAAAAAAAAATAGAATTAGATATAAAGATCTGACTTTGGTATACACTGTAAATCAGTTAGTGTTACTCTTTATTATTAAAAATAATTTCTTGGGTTGGGGATACAGCTCAGTGGTACAAGTGCCTGCCTGAAAAGTGTGAAGTCCTGAGTTAAAAAAAAACTAAAACTAATTTCTTTACAGGGATGTGCTTGGCCAAGGCAGAGAGTAATTACAACACACAAGCCACAAACTACAATCCTGGAGACAAGAGCACTGATTATGGGATATTCCAGATTAATAGCCACTACTGGTGCAATGACGGCAAAACCCCAGGAGCTGTTAATGCCTGTGGGGTATCCTGCAAAGGTAAGACGAGAGAGTGCTGGAGTGTTGGCCAGGGCCCATCTACTACCGAGAATAGAGGTTCAGTGCAAATGACAGTCTAGAAGGATTGATCCGGGTCCTAAAGAAACTATAACTCAACTAGTACACAGGGACTGTTTCGTCCACCAAATGTTTTGCAAGTAAGAAATCAGGGCCTGGGCATTATTTGCTCAGTGATAGAGAAAGTGCTTGGCATGTCTGAATTCCAGAGTTCCACTTCTGGCACTGGAAATTAAAACAAAGAAACAAACAATGTGCAGCATAAAAAGTTGCTGTTTTCAGATGGTACTTTCTGAAATCACTGAGTACTTTACTATCAGTTGCCATACTGAGTTTTGTTCAGAGCCATGATATACTCACTCTGTACTTATGGAATATTTTACAAGTACTCCGTTGTGTATTTCTTATGATTATTGCTCCTTTTATTATGAAATGATCTGAATAAACATGGCCATTGAAAAGTACTTTGCATGTTTAAATCAAACTTTTTTTTTTTTTTTTTTTTTTTGGTTTTTGGTTTTTCTCTGGTACCGGGAACCGAACTCACGACCTTGCACTTGCCAGGCAGGCGCTTTGCCGCTGAGCTAAATCCCCAGCCCCTAAATCAAACTTTTTATTAGAATAAAATACACACTGCCATTCATTCCTCTCAAAACGCTTCATGTCATTTTGAACAAAGAGAGTAGCTTCATTCTCACTGATTTTTTGAGCATTTCTGGACGCCTCTTTTACAAGTTTCTTCAGGAGGTGTCATCAAAACATAGGGCGTGCTGCTGCCAAGTGCCCTCCAGTGGAAAGGCACACCTGTAACTACGTCACGGTGTCTGCTTATCCACCTTGTTCACTGGATCTAGCACCGTTCCACTTCTAACTCTTCCTCAAAATCAAAAGAACCATGAGAATCAGCATTTTGAACCATTCAGGACATTCAGGCAGCTGGGACAGCAATTACTAAAGACACTCATGGAAGAGAACTGGCAGAACTGCTTCAGAAACTGGCAAGAGTGATAGATCAATTGTGTTCAAACAGAGTATTTTGAGAAGTACTAATGGCAATGTGTCTTCCATGGTAATAATTTTTTTATTTAAACAAAACAATATTTTTATTACACCTGATACACAGCTTTTAGTATATTAAACAATACCTGTGTACTTTTAAGAGTAATTGTCATATTACCAATTGTTTCCTCTTCACATATATTTTTATTTACTGGGAGGTTTTAATGTGAGTTAGAACAGGATTGAATTTTTTCTAAATGTTTTGATTTGTGTGTCAAAAAACGAAACAATCCTTGGGATAATGGAGCATCATGACAAGACTTAACAAATTACTTTATGGGCTTATATATTTAGCATGAAACTCGTGTTTTGTTTTGTTCTCTGTTTATAAGAAGAAAACACATAGACCTTGTTCCATTCCTAAGTAGGGAATGATAGCACTGAACTGATCATAAAGTTGAAATTCAGGGGATTCTTTGCTGCATACAATGGAATATAACTACCAAAATCTTGGTGTTGCCAAATGCCTCAATGTTAAATGTGCCAAGAGATGAGACTAGTTTTGGAGTTCTCTTTTAAAATCTAGCTGATATATTTCTAAAATAGTTTGTATTATATCAACATATAATCATTGAATAAACATTAAAGTATAGAAGCAAGAGAAACTAGCAAACACATTCTTCCCATGCAGGGATTTATATCTTTTGTTAATGTTAGGGTGTATATTTCTTCGGGATGTACATGAATCATGTACAGACAGGTAAAGTATGTCATGTACATGTGAAACCACACACAAGCATGTTAAAAATTAAACATAATTATATACTCTGCTTTGTAGTTTGCATAGTATTACACAAAATTATTTCCATATCAACAAATAAAAATCTGCATTTTCATTATGAAGGGTGAATACAACTCTATTCTGTGTATACTCCATAATGTTTTATGTGATGCTCACTGAAAAACACTTAGTCTGTTTCCATTTTTACCCTTTGTAAACTGCTATGAACAGCTTTGTGCATATATGCTCAAGTGCCTTTCTTGTTACTTCTTCAGGATGAACAATCCATAGTAGAATACCCAAGGAAAACTTGGCTAGGCATTTCTTTAAAGAGTACTATGTACCAAGAGTACCTTCCATTCCAGTCATTAAGACTTCCAGAGTTTCCAACCCCAGGAGCTGTTATATCCTGCAAAAGCATATCCTGCAAAAGTAAGACAAGAGAGTGTTGGAGTGGCTTTCCTTAATGAGAGTCAAAATGCTTCATTTCATGTCACAGGAGGTACATGAAACGTCCTAAGCCTTGGCTGGCTAAATCTAAGTTTAAAATGAAATTTCCAAGACAGTTGTTTTCATTTCTCACCATCTCTTTTTCAGCTTTGTTGCAAGATGACATCAGTCAGGCTGTGGCGTGTGCGAAGAGGGTTGTGAGGGATCCACAAGGCATCAGAGCATGGTATGATTGAGTGTGAAAGGGCAAAGGTTAGGGTTTTACCTGCCATCAGTATATGCAGTGAGAGAAGACTTCAAAGACCAGCGTGTCTTTGAGCTAAGATGTGGAATTTTGGGTTCAGGTGAGTAAATGTATTCCCATTATGCAGGAGGAAACAGGCTCCCTTAAGTGACACAGACTCCTACGCTTTTACTCCACCATGTATTTCAGTGGGTTCTGGAGATTTAAATTTCTCCACATTCTACCATTGCGGTGATATCTACGGAAAGTACTTCCAGTACAAGTTAAGTGTGCAGTGTACATAATCCAACATTTCTGAGCAGAATGCTGGGCTGGGCTGTGAGTTTGGAGGAGAACAAGGTACTTGTACGAATCCTCCACTCAGTAAACAGCAGTACTTGAGTCTAGATATTTATTTCTTGATAATATGTTGTGTTGCTGATCAGGATTCAAAGTATGTGTGCTGTAGTGAAAACAGACTTTAACTTTTTATGTGTGTTTCCTTTGTCTTTGCAGGGTGGGATGGAAAAATCATTGTCAAAACAAAGATCTCAAACCATACATCAATGGCTGTGGAGTATAGCTGCAGCATTTCCTTCCTCAGCTCTTTTTGTCTCTTTTTTGCATAAAGGAAGTAGCAGATAATCAAAGTTTCACACTACCATTGCTTCCCCTCCAAAGAAATAGAAGTTTTACAGAAGCACTACAAGCATATAACCTTTCTTCTGAGAGGCTTAATGTGCATGAATAACTCTTGTTATTTCATTTCACAAATAAAGCAAATGAGAGTGAAAATTTTTCTGGTACCTTAATTATCAATATATCTGTGAAGAGATGCCCCAGACATAAATGGAAATAATACAAGTATTCCTCAATATTAGATGAAAATATAACAAACATTCATGGGAAAACAAATTCATCTTAGGAAATAACCTTGCTATGGACCCGTGTGATACCTTCATCTGCTTGTCACTTTTAAAAACATTTTAAAAATTTAGTATTCTTTCACCCAGGCTTATTTATGATTAGAAGGAATGCACTTGGAGTGCAATTGAAAAACTTGCAGATAATTTGCTCTGTCAGTGCTCTGCTGACCATGCTTCACCTGCTCAACTGGGCCTCAGGCCCGAGCCCCAAACTCCCAAGAGGAGGTACTAACTCAATGATGCTGGCAGGGCAGAATGTGATCACATGATCACTTGCCTCTACATAGACACAAAAATTCTCAGTAAGACCATGGCAAGTGGAATGCAGCAAATCATCAAGAATGTTATACACCATGATCAAGTGGGATTCATCCCAGGAATGCAGGGACTGTTCAACATACAAAAATCAGTAAGTCTTCATTGTTGTTGTTTTGTTAGCTTTTTCTCTTTCAAATAAAAAACATCAATAAGTGTAATATAGTACATTAGCAGAACCAAGCCCAAAATGCACATAACCATCTCAGTTACTGCAGAAAAGCATTTAACAAAGTTTAACACCCACTGATGATAAAAAAAAACCCCTATGGAAACACTGGAATAGACCATCCTTGTTGCAGTCTCATAAAAGCCATTTATGACAACCCAACAGCCAACACCACACAAAATGGACAAAAACTGAAAGCTTTCACCCTAAGATCAAGAATGAGATAAGGATGTCCACTGTCACCACCCTCATTCAAAATAGTTCTGGGAACATTAGCCAGAACAATGAGAGATAAGAGGAAAAAAAAGGAATAGGATAGGAAAGGAAGAAATTAATTTATTCTTATTTGCATATGACATGATACTCAACATAGAAGACCCCAAACATAGAAGACCCCAGAAACTCCATGAAAAGACTTCTAGACTGAATAACTAAACTCAGTAGCATAACTGTATGTAAATTCAATACTCAAGAATGAATAATGGTCCTGTACACAAACAACAAATTCACAGAGAGAAATTATGGAAATACACCTTTCACGAGAGCATTAAAAATTAAATAAAATGTTAGCCACCATGGTGGTGCACATCAGTAATTCCAGCAATTGGGAGGGAGAGGCAGGAGGATCACCATGATTTTGAGGCCAGCCTGCCCTACATGGCGAGACTGTCTCAAAAAAAATAAAATGAATGAATGAATAAATAAATACTTAGGAATCAACCTAATGAAGGAAATAAAAGAACTTTACAGTAAAAACTACATTAGTCTCAGAAAAGAGATGACGGAAGATATCATAAAATTGGATCATATCCCTCGCTCTTAGGTGGGAAGAACGAATCTGCTAAAAATGGAAACACTTCCAAAATTTTATACAGTTTTAATGAACTTCCAATCAAAATATGCTATTTTGAAATCCCAATCAAAATAGCATTTATCATGGAACTAGAGAAAACAACCCTCAAATTCATTTGGAACCAGAAGAGACCCAGCATAGTCAAAGCAATTCTGGACAAAAATGGCAAGGTGGGGGTCACTGGGGGGATCACAATCCCTGACTTCAAATTATACTACAGAGCTACTGTGATATAAAGAACATGGTAGTGGCAGACTCAAGGATCAGTGAGACAGATTAGAAGGTGCAGGAGTAACTTCAAACACACTCAGCTACCTTATGTTTGACAAAGGGGTCAAATGCCTTCATTGGAAGAAAGATAAGATATGATGCTGTAAAACCTGGCTTTCCACGTGCCAAAGATGAAACCTAGACCTATATCTCTCACACTGCACTAAACTAAAATCAAAGTGGATGAAAGATCTAAATATTAAAATAGAGACACTTAATGCACTGAAAGATGGACTAGGTAGAACTCTTGAAGACTTTGGTGTAGGTGAAGACTTTATGAACAAAACCTCATTTGCACAGGAAATATCACAAAAAATCAATGAGTGGGACCACATCATAATTTAAATACTTTAGCACAGCCAAAGAAACCATCCACAGAGTGAAGAGACAACCCTCAGAATGGGAAAACAATTTTGCCAGCTGCTTCTCACACAAAAGACTAATATCTAGAATATATAAAGAATCAAAAAAGTCAGAAACTCCAAATATAAAGACCAAATCTAAAAATGAGCATCTGAAATGCATAGACACTTCTCAGATGAGGAAGTATAAATGGCAGAAGAATATATGAAAAAATGGTCAACATCACTGGTCATCAGAGAGATGCAAATTAAAACAACACTGAACCTGCCTCGTAGGCCCCCAGAGGGAGGGCCCCCAGCGCACAAGGAGCAGCTCCGGAGAAGTCTGCAGCAGGATTCCTGCTGCCTGTGCTGACAGTTGGGGAGAGGACACTAACTGGTTGTGGGGTCCCAATGCGATGGGAAGCTGGAGAGAAAACGTTACAAAAAGTGACTTTTGCCTCAGATGGCTCATTTGATTTTTGACAACCCTTTGGCTGTAACTACTTGGTAGATCCTTCTTGCATATCTCTGTCTTCCTGAGAAACCACTTCTAAGATACCACCATGTATTACAGCAGTCATTGATATTTTCCTACTAATCTATCCATAACTCTGTAATGTTTGTATTGTTCCTATCCTATTTCATAAATGGATGCATGTTTATTATTATGTGTTTCCTACAACCATTGAGAATAGTTAATGATTATTCAATAGGTCACTCATGTATAGTTCTATTTATTTTCTTTTGAAGATACCTAAGTAGAGTACAACAACTATTGATAATCTCCTACCTCTTTTGTCTGTAACTGACTATTATTTGTCTATTTGTTTTTCTGAGAAACTGTCTTGTAGATAACAATATGTAAAACAATAACCATTGATAATTTCCTACCACTTTGTCTGTAATTTGGTAAGCCCGCCCCCATTATTGTTATCCTTCTTTTACTCTTTAAAATTAAGAAAACAAAACAAAACAAAAAAAACAACACTGAGATTCCATCTTCAGAAAGAATGGCTAGTATCAAGAAATCAAACAATAACAGATGCTGGTGAGGCTGTGGGCAAAAAGTGTGGAGGACATTCTTTAGTTACTCTTTCAATGTGTTGTCTCAAGCCTGACCAAGCCATGACTGTTGAGTTCTGGAGGAAGTCTAGCAAAAGCATTGAGAGCCCTGGGGTCAACACTAAATGCTTTGCTGAGATATACCTGAAGGAATGGTAACATGATGGCTAACTAGTTTCATTCCTATGAGAATTGAGTTGTATTGTCCTTGCTAAAACAGTTGATATCCTCCCATTCCTCTGCTGCCTCCTTTGTTCTTTCTTACTGGAAATGATAATCGGGGCTGCAGTCCAAGAGGCTGTAAGCCCCCTGATCCCAGAATTATGCCTTTCTTATTTTTCTTGTTTCTCTTACTTTTCTATTCATCCGCAGGTACCTCGTTCTCAGGACCTGTTCACCCTGGACAGAAATGGATTATTAATCCAACAAAAAAGGAACACTGCTCTACTCTTCGTGGAAGTGTAGACTGGAGCAACCATTGTGGAAATCAGTGTGGAGATTCCTCAGAAAACTAAAATTAGAAGTTCCATTTGACATACCTGTGGTTGGTTAACTAGTGGTCAACTTGTAACACCCAGCTCAACTGAATCAGCATGGTTCTGGATGTAGAATGCCCACCTGAGGATTGTTGCCAACAGCATAAAAAGGAGAAATGGAGAGGAAGAAGTGTGCTGTTGATTTTCCTGGAGAAGCGTTTCAGGCTGGCTTTCCTGACATGAAGTCAGTTGTTCTCATTTTTGGAGGACCTCAGGTCTATGCTGTCACTGAGGGTGGCTGTGGTTCTCTTTGGGGGAGCTGTACTCCTTGCTTTGAGTGTCACTTCCTGGCTCCAGTGCAGATCCTTCAGCCTGCTGGCACAGATCCTTCATCCCACTGGTGCAGAATTTCTAGCTTCCACCACTGACCTTCCCAGTGCAGATCCTTGATACAGACTTGCATGAGACATTATCGTGGACTCTAGGCCTCCAGTTGGACTCATGGAGGGCACTGCCACGGTCTCTAGGTCATCAGCTGGACTCGTGCAGTATATTGCCATTGGATGCAGTGCCTCAGCTTGATTTTTTTGTGTCTACTGCGTGGACAGATCTCCCACACTCTTTTGTATTTGTCTCTTTGGATGAATATTATAAAATAATCTTGTAAATTATGTGTCTTGTTATTAAATCTACTTCTTCATAAACCTTCACCACAACACCAGCTATTCCTCTTCTTGGTATCTGCCCAAAAGAACTAAAAGCACCATATCACAGTGACATATGCACACCTGTGTTTATAGTGGATTTTAATAGCTAAATCTTGGAAACAGCCCAAATGATCCAAATGCCCACCAACAGATGAATGGATGAAGAAAATGTGGGATTCTCTGCACAATGGAGTTCTGCTCTGCCATAAAGAAGGATAAACTTGAGACATTGCTAGGTAAGTGGATGCACCTTGAGACCATTCTCTTAAGGGAATAACTCAGACACACATGTTTATTTTATTTTATTTTTTGGTTTTTTTCCGGTACTGGGGATCGAACTCATGACCTTGCGCTTGCTGTGCACGCACTGTGCCGCTGAGCTAAATTCCCAGCCCCCGGACACACATGTTTAAATATCCTATTGTTTCTCTTGTGTGAGAAACCAAGAGGGTAAAATATGGATCAAAATACATATCAAATAGATATTGGAAAATAGGAAAAAAAAGTTCAAGTGGGAAGGGGAACAAGGGAGGGAGGAGAGGGAAGAAAGGGAGAGAAAAGAAAAAAGAATAGAAGAAAAAACAGAAGTAAAGATTATATAGATAAGGAGGGAAGAAAGGGTGGATGGGAAGGGAGGAGAATGGGGAAAACAAAAGAATCAAGCTATGTTACA